AAAAAACACATATTGGCAAGAGACTGTCTACGTGTGTCCGCGTGTTCGCACTTTTTGTCACCCACTTTCAACTCGAGGACCAGAAAAGCTGGAATGCTGGGACTTGGGGAGTATGTGCCCACGCCATGTGACCGTCTCGTTTTAATATCATCATCCGCGTCAGCTTGAGTCTTACGTATATACGCCTTAAAAAAATATGCGAATTTTTTGGTGAGAAAGCGATCTTGAAAACCAGAAAAGATAGAGGGCAGAAACTTTGCAGGGGTATTCTTTGTGCATGCATGAGCTAAAGATTTCAGATGCAGCCCCTAGGCGTTCACAGTTCTTACGTACAGGAGTGTGAAAGATTTGGCGAGAAAATTGCTAATTCGGGAACCAGAAAAGCCGGAAAGCTGGAATTTTAAGGGAATATTCCGTGTTGAAATATACCTTGAAGATTTCAAATTCAGCCTCCAAATATGCGTAGTTCTCGTATATAGGTACTCAAATTTTTGACGGAAAAATTGCTCATTGAAAAACTAGATCGTTTTCAAGGAACGACCGCTAAGCAGAAATTGTCCATCTTCCTTTATGCAAAATTTGCAATGATTTATCGTAGTGAGCGCACAAGATAGGTGTGAAGCAACAACCATTCATGCACTTAACGATCTATTCAAGTTCGGTGCAAAAACGCATGATCGCACCGACAAGCTTTGTGCGTTTCAGCCTGGGTTTTAAAATTACAGACAGCTGCCTCCTGTCCAGCCAGGTTGCAGTGTTCAATCGGCGTCATACAACTGAAATCATACTTGCACCTAATGCAACAGATGTGACGCATTGTTGAATTTTAAGGGTTTGGGTTTGCATGGCGAGCTAAATATTTTTGTAAAATTCCTCCTCCGCACCTTGGCTGAATCCGTAAATTCTTTTTTAATTGTAAATATTTTCGTGCTCTTGCGCATTGTAGGCGTGCACAAAAGCTGATTTTTTGTTTACGGGTCTGACATAGACAGTGGATGTTTTCGAATGGTCGGGGTATTCTGCCCAGCCTAGTTCCCGAGCTTGCATTTTGCCGGTGTTCTGATTGCCGGTGTTCTATCGGTACATGTGATTGGGCACACGTGGGAGGTGAAATCGAATTCTTTAATCCAGCACGAGGATATAGAAAATCTCTATGCAATTTTAGCTTCCTATCTTGCCCAGTCTTTAGAATCGTTTTCCCACTAAAAAAATTACAATAGGCAAGATATGCGTGCGAGATAAGGGGTCCATGCATTTTTCATAAAAAAGGGAGGGCCGCGCACAGGGTAAAAACATGTTCCAAAAGTTTTAGTTTTCCAGTTTCTCTAATTGCTGAGTTCAATGCAGATGACAAAAAACCGTACACAAACGCACAATACACACACACATACATACACACACACACACACACACCGGCAATATACATGTTGGCCAACATGCATTTTTGCATGTGCA